AGAGCACAGATAGCCCATTATGTAGCTTTGTTCTTAACTTCAAACAACAACATCAGGCTTACCGTATTATTTTTTGATGAAGTTATAAGAGTTGGTTTATAATATAATACAAGTTTCAGAATTTTTGAAGATCCATTCAGAGCTCATGCTTATAATAACTCTCCGTTTAATACTCTAGTTGTTAATATTATTTCAGTGTGATTATTGTACTCTTTTTAAGTAGAATAACTAGTTATTATTTATAACAACATTTTCTAATTTATAAACTAGAAAACTAAAAGCGACGAACTAACATCATACTCTTGACGTTTCTGACGTTCTTCCAGATCATATTTTTCAGATTCCAAGGAGGAGATTCTGGCCCACAGTTCCTGAGCCTTTTGTCTAAGATCTTCAATTTTGAGCCCCTCGATCTCAAGAGGCTTAACTCTGTACTGCAAGCACATTTTCTTGTCCTCCTCTAACTGTTCTTTCGTCTTACCCATCTCGCCTCGAGCGTACATTATGTTGGTAAACTGGAAATCAGACCAAAAAACAAACATTCAACTTTGATCATGGAGGGATTTTAGTTCATTTTGTTTCTTTGCATTTGATCAAACCTGAAAAATACTTGTTACACTTGTTGAACGTTTTGATCAGTTTAAAGGAAACTGTCTAAAGATAATAAAAGAAAATTATACCATTCCAAACTTACGTTGCATCAAAACAAAACGTTAATTAGTGAACTATAAACCGACCTGGAAACTTAAGAGTAAAATAATACTAACTTTCCTGAATATTTTGTTTTCTTTATCACCCCTATATCACGATTAAACTCACGAATGTATTCTTTAGCATTGTTTTATTATAGCCTAATATCAACCTTCCAATCTTCAGTCAGATGAAGGTGGCATTTGTCTTTAAATTACCAATACTTAAGCCTAGCCAGATGAGTATGGTAATAAGCAAGTCTTCAAACGTTTTTTTGAGGGTCTCCGAACCACAAATTTGTCCTAATACTTTTGTAGATACTCACTTATCAGTGTTTTAAATCTGGTATTTTATGTTTATTGCCTGAGTTTGATATATTTTTTTAAACGATTATAGTCGTAGAATTGATTTTTTTTGGTTAATGGAACAATAAAATAAATTTATATATAAATTTTAGGTTACAACTTTTATTGCACGCGAGAAGACTTATTTTGTACAGAGCCATAATTTAAGAGTTACGGTAATTTTGTGCTATTTTGATGTTTTTGTTGTACAATACAATACGTGATAAAGTTATGCATTTTGGGTACATTTGTAAAAGCTAACACGGCTATTATAATGAGTTAATATAACGGATATAACAGTTAACAACTCTCTTATAACACCCAGTTTGGTTCTTATCGAGGGTACTTTGAGTGATAAACTAGGCAGAAAGACAAACGTTCATAACTACTCAATCCTTCCTGTTCCTGTGAATGTAGAACAAGCAGAACGGTGTGTTATATTCTATCTCTTTAGTTGAAAATGTTGCCCTGGCTTTGAAAGAACTTGTATGAGTGTGTTTCTTTCATCATCCTCTTATGTGGTTAACCCCACTCCCTCACAAATCAAGTGTGTTTCTTTCATCATCCCCTTATGTGGCTGACCCCACTCCCTCACAAATCAAATATGTTTCTTTCATCATCCCCTTATGTGGTTAACCCCACTCCCTCACAAATCAAATATGTTTCTTTCATCATCCTCTTATGTGGTTAACCCCACTCCCTCACAAATCAAATATGTTTCTTTCATCATCCT